GGAAAGACTTTATTGATCTCACACTGGAGAAATGAACAAAATGAAAAATAAAATACATATCTGCCCACCCGTCCAATCACAGTCGCGGGAGTCGAACCCATAGAAACACTTTTTAAAGACTAAGAATAAAGATTTATAGCAGATTGTTCAGAAAGTGCATTTGCTTTGACTCCTCCTGAGTGGATTGTGACGGTTTGTGTTAAAGGCCCGCACCTGAACAGAGAGCTATCTAACACAGAGAGCTATCTAACACAGAGAGCTATCTAACACAGAGAGCTATCTAACACAGAGAGCTATCTAACACAGAGAACTAGCTAACACAGAGAGCTATCTAACACAGAGAGCTATCTAACACAGAGAACTAGCTAACACAGAGAGCTATCTAACACAGAGAGCTAGCTAACACAGAGAACTAGCTAACACAGAGAGCTATCTAACACAGAGAGCTATCTAACACAGAGAGCTATCTAACACAGAGAGCTATCTAACACAGAGAGCTATCTAACACAGAGAGCTATCTAACACAGAGAGCTATCTAACACAGAGAGCTATCTAACACAGAGAGCTATCTAACACAGAGAGCTATCTAACACAGAGAACTAGCTAACACAGAGAGCTATCTAACACAGAGAGCTATCTAACACAGAGAACTAGCTAACACAGAGAGCTATCTAACACAGAGAGCTAACTAACACAGAGAGCTAGCTAACACACAGAGAGCTAGCTAACAACCATGACATTCCTTCCACCTGGTTACGGACTATGTCCAAGTGGAACGACTAAATCACAAACAAAGGGACCAAGGACGCCGCCGCCGCCGCCGCCGCCGCCGCCGCCTCTGCCGCCGCCGCCGCCGCCGCCGTTCCCACTGAGGCCAATTGTTTTGCTCAGTCACTTTCCCGCTTCATGGCCGCCTTAATCTAATGCAATTTAAGCCACTTACATTTTTCATACAGCGCACGTTAGCCTGTTAGCGCCGCCTGTTAGCGCCGCCTGTTAGCGCCGCCTGTTAGCGCCGCCTGTTAGCGCCGCCTGTTAGCGCCGCCTGTTAGCGCCGCCTGAGCTGGTCCAGGACCTTCAGATGGGCACGGCTACGGTCCACTCTCGGCCAACTCTCGGTCTCTCTTGCTCTCTCTCATTCTCTCTCTCTCTTGGTCTCGCTCTCTCACTCTCTCTCACTCTCTCTCGGTCTCTCTCGGTCTCTCTCTTGGTCTCGCTCTCTCACTCTCTCTCGGTCTCTCTCGGTCTCTCACTCTCTCTCACTCTCTCTCGGTCTCTCTCGGTCTCTCTCGGTCTCTCTCTCACTCTCTCTCGGTCTCTCTCGGTCTCTCTCTTGCTCTCTCTCACTCTCTCTCGGTCTCTCTCGGTCTCTCTCGGTCTCTCTCTTGGTCTCGCTCTCTCACTCTCTCTCACTCTCTCTCGGTCTCTCTCGGTCTCTCTCTTGGTCTCGCTCTCTCACTCTCTCTCGGTCTCTCTCGGTCTCTCTCGGTCTCTCTCTCTCTCTCGGTCTCTCTCTTCACTGCTCCAAAGTTTGGAGTTGTAGAAGTTGGAAATGTATTCATTAAGTGGATTTCAGTCACTTTTCAGATTTTAGATACCAGAGACCGGAGAGAGAGACCTGAGAGAGAGAGACCAGAGAGAGAGACCAGAGAGAGAGACCAGAGAGAGACCAGAGAGAGAGACCAGAGAGAGACCAGAGAGAGACCAGAGAGAGAGACCAGAGAGAGACCAGAGAGAGACCAGAGAGAGACCAGAGAGAGAGACCTGAGAGAGAGAGAGAGACAGAGAGAGACCAGAGAGAGTCCAGAGAGAGACCAGAGAGAGACCAGAGAGAGAGAGACCAGAGAGAGAGACCAGAGAGAGAGACCAGAGAGAGACCAGAGGAGAGAGACCAGAGAGAGACCAGAGAGAGAGACCTGAGAGAGAGAGACCAGAGAGAGAGACCAGAGAGAGAGACCAGAGAGAGAGACCAGAGAGAGACCAGAGAGAGACCAGAGAGAGGCCAGCGAGAGAGACCAGAGAGAGACCAGAGAGACCAGAAAGAGACCAGAAAGAGACCAGAGAGAGACCAGAGAGAGAGAGAAAAGAGAGGCAGGAGAGAGAGACCAGAGAGACAAGAGAGAGAGACCAGAGAGAGACCAAAGAGAGACCAGAGAGAGACCAGAGAGAGACCAGAGAGAGACCAGAGAGAGGCCAGAGAGAGAGACCAGAGAGAGACCAGCGAGAGAGACCAGAGAGAGACCAGAGAGACCAGAAAGAGACCAGAAAGAGACCAGAGAGAGACCAGAGAGAGACCAGAGAGAGACCAGAGAGAGGCCAGCGAGAGAGACCAGAGAGAGACCAGCGAGAGAGACCAGAGAGAGACCAGAAAGAGACCAGAGAGAGACCAGAGAGACCAGAAAGAGACCAGAGAGAGAGAGACCAGAGAGGCAGGAGAGAGAGACCAGAGAGACAAGAGAGAGAGAGACCAGAGAGAGACCAGAGAGTCAAGAGAGAGACCAGAGAGAGACCAGAGAGAGACCAGAGAGAGACCAGAAAGAGACCAGAGAGAGACCAGAAAGAGACCAGAGAGAGAGAGACCAGAGAGGCAGGAGAGAGAGACCAGAGAGACAAGAGAGAGAGAGACCAGAGAGAGACCAGAGAGAGACCAGAGAGACAAGAGAGAGAGAGACCAGAGAGAGACCAGAGAGAGGCCAGAGAGAGAGGCCAGAGAGAGACCAGAGAGAGAGACCAGAGAGAGAGACCAGAGAGAGACCTGAGAGACAAGAGAGAGAGAGACCAGAGAGAGACCAGAGAGAGACCAGAGAGAGACCAGAGAGAGAGACCAGAGAGACAAGAGAGAGAGAGACCAGAGAGAGACCAGAGAGAGACCAGAGAGAGACCAGAGAGAGACCAGAGAGAGAGACCAGAGAGAGACCTGAGAGACAAGAGAGAGACCAGAGAGAGGCCAGAGAGAGGCCAGAGAGAGACCAGAGAGAGAGACCAGAGAGAGAGACCAGAGAGAGACCTGAGAGACAAGAGAGAGAGAGACCAGAGAGAGACCAGAGAGAGACCAGAGAGAGACCAGAGAGAATCTACCGTTTCATTAACAGTTGTATTTCTTTGTGCTTTAAATCCATCACTCGTGTCGTGTTGACTCCGCCCTTTCCCCTCTGCGTGGCCTGGTCTTTTGACTAACGTGCCCCGGGGTTTCTCTCACGCTGACTCGCCTCAATACCCTGACTTTTCCCATTTACAGCAGACACTCCATCTCTTAAACACAGCCTTTCACTTCTGCATTTTCACTTTTCTCTCTTTGACGGCTCTTTCCATCACTCGCCATGAGCTCCGGGCCCCGGCACCACCAGGAGCTAATACAGAGGAGCAAGACCAGAGAGAGAGACCAGAGAGAGAGAGACCAGAGAGAGAGACCAGAGAGAGAGACCAGAGAGAGAGACCAGAGAGAGAGACCAGAGAGAGAGACCAGAGAGAGAGACCAGAGAGAGAGACCAGAGAGAGAGACCAGAGAGAGAGACCAGAGAGAGAGACCAGAGAGAAAGAGACCAGAGAGAGAGACCAGAGAGAGAGACCAGAGAGAGAGACCAGAGAGAGAGACCAGAGAGAGAGACCAGAGAGAGAGAGAGACCAGAGAGAGAGAGAGACCAGAGAGAGAGAGACCAGAGAGAGAGAGAGACCAGAGAGAGAGACCAGAGAGAGACCAGAGAGAAAGAGACCAGAGAGAGTGACCAGAGAGAGACCAGAGAGAAAGAGACCAGAGAGAGAGACCAGAGAGAGAGACCAGAGAGAGAGAGAGACCAGAGAGAGACCAGAGAGAGAGACCAGAGAGAGAGACCAGAGAGAGAGACCAGAGAGAAAGAGACCAGAGAGAGAGACCAGAGAGAGACCAGAGAGAAAGAGACCAGAGAGAGAGAGACCAGAGAGAGACCAGAGAGAAAGAGACCAGAGAGAGAGACCAGAGAGAGAGACCAGAGAGAGAGACCAGAGAGAGAGACCAGAGAGAGAGACCAGAGAGAAAGAGACCAGAGAGAGAGACCAGAGAGAGAGAGAGACCAGAGAGAGACCAGAGAGAAACCAGAGAGAGACCAGAGAGAGACCAGAGAGAGAGACCCGAGAGAGAGACCAGAGAAAGAGACCAGAGAGAGACCAGAGAGAGACCAGAGAGAGAGCAGAGAGAGAGAGAGAGACCAGAGAGAGACCAGAGAGAGACCAGAGAGAGACCAGAGAGAGACCAGAGAGAAAGACTAGAGCACATGTGTCAAAGTCAAGGCCCGCGGGCCAAATCCGGCCCGCGAATGAATTTTACATGGCCCGTTGCCTGCCATTGACGCACTATTACGTCAATTGCGTTTTCCGCTATTTTCATGTTCCCAGATGTCTATTATATCTAATATGTTTGGGGATAAGCTTGAGAGCATATTGAATCGAGCCAGCAGGTGGCAGCAGCGCTCTCTGAATGGTTTGAAAACAGCTAGATGCACTTGTTGTGCCTCTTTTTTCTCAACTTTTTGGTGATTTCAGTAAAACTTCCCTCTACTCAACTGGGGATTACAAGCTAGAAACAAAATTCTTCTTGCTGATGAAAGTAGACAGTCTATTCTTTCAGAATCTGGTTTCGGATTTCAGATAGTCATAGTACACAATATTCTGTGGTTCTTGAAAAATCTATAAAAATCATCAGAAACTGCCATATGAGAATACCTGTTCTGAAATAGGCTGGCAGGTAATGAGTTAATAAACATTGAACCCGTCCGGCCCTCGGCTCGAAGCAAATGTGTTTTTTTGGCCCTCTGATGTATTTGACTTTGACATGCCTGGACTAGAGAGTTGTGTAGCATTAGCATGAGTCGTGTAGCATTAGCATGTGTAGCATTAGCATGTGTAGCATTAGCATGTGTAGGCGCTGCTTGTTAGCTCAGGAGCCACAGTCCAAGGCCACGGTCTGGTTGGTATTCAGACAGAGCTGCTCATGAAGATGTGAGGCTGGTTTAGAAAATAATCTATCAAGAGAGACGTGAGGAGGCGATGAAGAGGAGGTGATGAAGAGGAGGTGATGAAGAGGAGGTGATGAAGAGGAGGCGATGGAGAGGAGGCGATGAAGAGGAGGCGATGAAGAGGAGGCACTGAAGAGGAGGCGATGAAGAGGAGGCACTGAAGAGGAGGCGATGAAGAGGAGGTGATGAAGAGGAGGCACTGAAGAGGAGGCGATGAAGAGGAGGCACTGAAGAGGAGGCGATGAAGAGGAGGCACTGAAGAGGAGGCGATGAAGAGGAGGTGATGAAGAGGAGGCACTGAAGAGGAGGCGATGAAGAGGAGGCACTGAAGAGGAGGCGATGAAGAGGAGGCACTAAAGAGGAGGCGATGAAGAGGAGGCGATGAAGAGGAGGCCCTGAAGAGGTGGCGATGAAGAGGAGGCGATGAAGAGGAGGCACTGAAGAGGAGGCGATGAAGAGGAGGCGATGAAGAGGAGGCACTGAAGAGGAGGCGATGAAGAGGAGGCGATGAAGAGGAGGCACTGAAGAGGAGGCGATGAAGAGGAGGGGATGGAGAGGAGGCGATGAAGAGGAGGTGATGAAGAGGAGGCGATGAAGAGGAGGCACTGAAGAGGAGGCGATGAAGAGGAGGCACTGAAGAGGAGGCACTGAAGAGGAGGTGATGAAGAGGAGGCGATGAAGAGGAGGCGATGAAGAGGAGGCGATGAAGAGGAGGCGATGAAGAGGAGGCACTGAAGAGGAGGCGATGAAGAGGAGGCGATGAAGAGGAGGTGATGAAGAGGAGGCACTGAAGAGGAGGCACTGAAGAGGAGGCGATGGAGAGGAGGCGATGAAGAGGAGGCGATGAAGAGGAGGCACTGAAGAGGAGGCGATGAAGAGGAGGGGATGGAGAGGAGGCGATGAAGAGGAGGGGATGGAGAGGAGGCGATGAAGAGGAGGCGATGGAGAGGAGGCGATGAAGAGGAGGGGATGGAGAGGAGGCGATGAAGAGGAGGCGATGGAGAGGAGGCGATGAAGAGGAGGTGATGAAGAGGAGGCGATCAAGAGGAGGGGATGGAGAGGAGGCGATGAAGAGGAGGCGATGAAGAGGAGGCGATGAAGAGGAGGTGATGGTTGGGACAGTACATGTTCATGAACACATCTCTCTGGATTGTACCTTGGGCTAAGTTGTTTCCGTAGTCCCACATTTGCACTCACAAACTGGAAACCGGAGCGCACACAGGGAGAACATGCAAACTCCCTCCAAACAGTTATTAACATTATGAAATTTTCTCAGTGATCTGTGGAGCAAGACTCAGGACTTCATTTCAAATAACAAAAGAAGAGACATAACCAAAGCAAACTCACTTCAGCCGTTCATCCTCTCTGCTCTTTCCGATCCTCTCTGCTCTTTCTAATCCTCTCTGCTCTTTCCGATCCTCTCTGCTCTTTCTAATCCTCTCTGCTCTTTCCGATCCTCTCTGCTCTTTCTAATCCTCTCTGCTCTTTCCGATCCTCTCTGCTCTTTCTAATCCTCTCTGCTCTTTCCGATCCTCTCTGCTCTTTCTAATCCTCTCTGCTCTTTCCGATCCTCTCTGCTCTTTCTAATCCTCTCTGCTCTTTCTAATCCTCTCTGCTCTTTCTAATCCTCTCCTTTCGTTCCGGAGTCGGCCGTTCCTGCATTTGATCTTTTTTGCGCTTGTCACATTGACGGAGCACTTTGTACTGTAGCACTTTGTACAGTAGCACTTTGTACAGTAGCACTTTGTACAGTAGCACTTTGTACTGTAGCACCTTGTACAGTAGCACTTTGTACAGTAGCACTTTGTACAGTAGCACTTTGTACTGTAGCACCTTGTACAGTAGCACTTTGTACAGTAGCACTTTGTTCAGTAGCACTTTGTTCAGTAGCACTTTGTACAGTAGCACTTTGTACAGTAGCACTTTGTACAGTAGCACCTTGTACAGTAGCACTTTGTACAGTAGCACTTTGTACTGTAGCACTTTGTACAGTAGCACCTTGTACAGTAGCACTTTGTACAGTAGCACTTTGTTCAGTAGCACTTTGTTCAGTAGCACTTTGTACAGTAGCACTTTGTACAGTAGCACTTTGTACAGTAGCACTTTGTACAGTAGCACTTTGTACAGTAGCACCTTGTACAGTAGCACCTTGTACAGTAGCACTTTGTACAGTAGCACCTTGTACAGTAGCACTTTGTACTGTAGCACTTTGTACAGTAGCACTTTGTACAGTAGCACCTTGTTCAGTAGCACTTTGTTCAGTAGCACTTTGTTCAGTAGCACTTTGTACAGTAGCACTTTGTACAGTAGCACTTTGTACAGTAGCACTTTGTACAGTAGCACTTTGTACATGATGAGAGACAATAACAGTGACTTATGCTGAAGTCACTGAAGAATATCCTCTGCCTCCCCCCTCTCCTCACACCTCCTCCTCCTCCCCTCCTCCTCCTCCTCCCCTCCTCTTCCTCCTCCCCTCCTCCTTACACCTCACACCTCCTCCTCCTCCCTCCTCACACCTCCCCCCCCCCCCCCCCCCCCCCACAGTCTGTCAGAGATGGAGGAGCAGAGGAGAGCAGGAGAACATTGATCGCTCAGAGTTGCTGACTCTGATCTGAAAAAGTCCGTCTCAGCTTTTTCCTGTGCAGTGTTTTCACTTCCATCAGAGCAGCTCCACTCGGACGTTTGCTTCTGCCGCCGCCACCGCCACCGCCACCGTCACCGCCACCGCTACCGCCACCGCCGCCGCCGTCGTGGTGGTTTCTGACGGGTTTGGTTTAATGAACAGCGAACTGAAGCATGTTTTAAGTTAATTTGACCAACGGTGTTTCCTTTTGTCAGTATCAAGAGGAAAATAACAGTAAATATTTATTTGCCCAAAGCTCCTTTGTTTCAACACAAACTAAAGCAGATTATTTCCATCTGTGAAATATTCATGACTCAGAATCAGAATTTAAAAATACAGTTTCATCGAGTCGACAAAATAAAAGCATTAACGTTAAAACTGTTTTCTGCTCAGACACATCACTGTGACAGATGTTATTTAAATGTATATGAGGCCGAGACGCACACACAGAGACACACACACAGAGACGCACAAAGAGACACACACACACACACACAGACACACACGGAGAGAGACGCACACACTGACACACACACAGACGCACACACACACAGACACACACACACACACGGAGAGAGACGCACACACTGACACACACACAGACGCACACACAGACGCACACACACACACAGACGCACACACATGCACACAAAGAGACACACAGACGCACACACAGACACACACACAGACGCACACACAGACACACACACGGAGAGACGCACACACACAGACACACACACACACGCAAACAGACACACACACACACAGACACACGCAGACGCACGCAGACACACACATAAACACAGAGAGAGAGAGACACACACACCAAAACTGGACCAAATATTGGGTTTTTAATTAAACTGAAAAAACTGTACTTTTAAGATAATATAACTTTATTGATTTCACAAAAAGAGAGAAATTCAACACATTTAAAATACATTTAAAATCACACTTTGGCCTCAAACAAAACTGTAAAGAAACAAACCCATTCCATCATGAGTCAAAAGAATAACGTTCTTAGACATCGGTGAAATGAAGCCGCCGGGTTTTTCAAGGTCACATCTTTTCTTCTTCTTTTTCTTTGTTTGTGTGTCCATCCATCCTCATCGCCGCCTCCAGTTTCCCATTCCCTTCCACGGCACGTACTTCATATTCTCCTGTTTGCCTCCGCCACAGCCTCTGCACATTTGTCTGAGCACACAAACCTCCGCCCGGGTCGGTGTGTGCGCTGCCCCCTGCTGTTCAGAGCTCATAACGCCGGCTCCAGTGTGTGTTGGTGTGTGCGCTGCCCCCTGCTGTTCAGAGCTCATAACGCCGGCTCCAGTGTGTGTTGGTGTGTGCGCTGCCCCCTGCTGTTCGGAGCTCATAACGCCGGCTCCAGTGTGTGTTGGTGTGTGCGCTGCCCCCTGCTGTTCGGAGCTCATAACGCCGGCTCCAGTGTGTGTTGGTGTGTGCGCTGCCCCCTGCTGTTCGGAGCTCATAACGCCGGCTCCAGTGTGTGTTGGTGTGTGCGCTGCCCCCTGCTGTTCGGAGCTCATATCGCCGGCGCCGTCAAAGGGGATTAGCCGCACACTTGATCAGAGGCTCGTGGTTGCCAACGGATTATTATTTTTTATTTTTCTGATGCGTGACAGACTTACATGTGCTGCTTTTAACACTTGGACTCCCGGAATAATTAAGATACAGAAAAATCCCAGAGCCGACTTTGGGATTGCTCCCGTTCAAAGAAACTCAATGTTTTTCTTTTCACGGAGGACTTTACAAAACTGTTGATTTTGCCTAAACACAGATCAGAGAATCAGTTCAGACCAGTGTGGGTGGGTGGGGGGGTGTACCCGGAAAGAGAATTACCCAATGCTTTTGTATAGTGTCTTCTTTCCTCTAACATCTTTACAGGACGGTCCAAAAGTGGTTCTTGGTCCAAAAGTGGCTCTTGGTCCAAAAGTGGTTCTTGGTCCAAAACTGGCTCTTGGTCCAAAAGTGGGTCTTTCTGAGTGGAGTTTGCATGTTCTCCCCGTGTCTGCTTAGGTTTCCTCTGGGTGCTCCGGTTTCCCCACCACTAAAAACATGTACAATAGGTCTGAATGTAAATGAGTGAACGGAGGGTGTTTGGTCGGAGGCTTTGATGGAGCAGTGTGTTCGGCGACTCGCTTCAGTCATCTCTGTGTGGCGTGACTGGAAAAATACAGGAGAGTTATTTACTTTCTGATTAAAATCCAAATCATAAAACCCACATGACCTTCCTCCAAACTCCCTCCTTTAACTTGATCATTCTGTCTTTGCTCGTCACATTAAAATTAGCCAAAACAAGACGCTCAAAAACACAAATCCAAAGTGAAAGTCAGATTCATGGAGTTATTTTTACCAAAGAGGTCCTGACAGAGCCGCACTCAGAGATATTTATAACAGAGCCTGGACCTCCTCCTCCGAGATCCGCTGATATTTACTCTGCTGCTCTGTCAAGTTATCCATCTTTTATTACCTCAGGTGGAAAACAGAAACTTTGAGACGGGGCTCATGGGTTCAGAGCCCGAGGAAACTGTGACCTCTGACCCCTGTGATGTCTAGTTTGTTCAAATTGTTATTATTGTTTAAACCTGACAAAGACTGGAACGTTCTGAGGTTTATGATTCAGATCCTTCAGACGCAGAAGGAAACACAACATGTGTTTAGAAGTTGGTTCAATGATGAAAAAATTCAATTTTTGCTGAACTTTACACGCACACGCACACACACACACAGACACACATACACACACACACACAGACACACACACACATACACACATACCCACACACACACACACACACACAGACACACACACACATACACACATACCCGCACACACACACGCACACACAGACATACAGACACACATACAGACACACATACACGCACACACACATACAGACACACACACATACAGACACACACATACAGAGACACACATACACACACACACACAGACACATACACACACACACACACCCACACACACAGACACACACGGTCTG